ACTTTGGTTTAAATAAGCTTTAGTTAAGTTATAATTATTAATAAATCAATGATTATTTCTATGATTGGAATATGATTATTTCAATTATTTCGTTTAATTAACTTAAGTGACGTCTGAATAGGCGTCTTGAGGAAACAACAGAAACAATAGTACATTTTTAAATAAAACACATCTCTTCAAATAAAACTAGAGTTCATTGCGATAACCACAATTTTATCATATAAACCATTATAGAATTATATTAATGTCCCTGCTATACTCCTAAGGAATGAACTGTGGTATTCGGTGCGATATACTCAACTGAAACCACATTTGATAAATAAAGTCTTGATCCTATCTATTCTAGTTTTGGTCCGTCCTAGTGAATTAAGCCGTAGAACTTATTGCGATATCTATGCTATTAAAGGTCAAAGAAACAACTTAAGAAAGAAGTATTGTTGTTAGTTGCAACACCTTTTAACTTAGGTTCCAGAATATCGAAGTTTCTTAATATCATAATAGTGAATTTATTGTGGTATTCACGATTAAAAATCCTTTAACAAAATAAAATCCAGAAGTATTATTATTATACTGATTGAATAATAATAAAAAAATGGAGTCACAATAATGATCAATTAATATATCTAAAGACTGTGTTGTTGCTTCTTAGGGATTACAGTATCAATCTGTGGATGAAAGATTAAACTTACAAACTGCCACTAAGTGTGGTGATATATCACCGATTTAGCTACGTGAAAAGGTTCGTTACTTAACAAAAACAAAAGAAAATGGTAAGTATTGGTTTAAAAATAATGCTTTATTAAAAAAAAATCAGAATTTAATAAACACTCGCTTATTAGTAGAGAAATATGTTATAGTATATAGAAATATAATTAGAGTAAATTACAATTTCATATTAACGGAAGTAATATTAAAATGTTATTCATAATTAAATGATTCTACTCTCTACTCAAGAGGACTCTACTTTCAAAAGATTAGACTTTTATATTATTAAAGTTACATTATAGAGAGGATCTCAGGAAATAACATAATAGTCTATAGTACACATTCAGTCCCCATATTAAAGAGTGACTTAGTCTACTACATTACTCAGTTATTTTGCAACCTCATATGGATTCTAGAAGCCTATCATTTTTAACTAGTCTCTAATCCCTATACTATCACAACGTTTCTAAAAGCGCAGTGCATACAGTGTTTCACCGCTTCAAAGAAGAACAACTGTTTGAGAAGATTTTTGAACAGTCCTCATCATGGACGAGTGAAATCTGCTTAAGCTGTCTCAGTTTAAAATCAAAAAGAATGTTTAAAACCCAAATCATATCACACCTTAGATATTATCAAATGTGCTGGTATTATCAAATAACCACAAAACCAGATAGGGTAATGTCACTTATAATACATAGCAGTAACATTGATAATAAAAAACACAACAGACATAGTATAATAAATAGACAAGATAGCAATAAAAAGTAGATATTTAAGCTTTATGACTTTCTGAGTGGCTTTCTGACAAAATACTAAGCCTGTGATTCTGAGAGGACAAGCAGGCAGACATGTATATGATTTCAGTAGATTGACATATCACAGTAACGTGAGATGTACACATCGTCAAAAAAAGTATAGTATAAGTACTACTACACATCATCTCTAGAAGTATATGTGAGGATATTCTGTTCGTAATTTTTTGTTTAAAAAACTATTATTAACGTCCTCGTAATAAAGAAGGCAAAAATTTTATTTTGGGTAGCCGCTTGCTGAAACTTTGCTTTGTATTAACTTGACTCGGGAGTGTCATGATGAAAAACGACTTAAAACAATAATAAATCTTAGTAATAGACAATAATTAGAAATCTGTTTTGTTGTGCTAACACACCTGCAAATGGCGATTATCAACAGATTACTATTATCGTTAGATCGCTGTAAGCAAAGATGGTCCTCAGTTCGAAAACATATCCTCTGCATCATCAAATGTTCATAGAAACTAAAACTTCATTTGGATGTATTCAAGGACTAAACTATATTATTAATGAAATATGGATGGCCTTGTTATACATCATTGCTGCTTACTTTAAATACTTTTATTTTAATATATTTAGGTTCAACAGCAAGAGTTATTTTTATTTTTTAATTTTAAACGTATTGTATATAATAAATTGTACACGTATTATAAAAATACTCAAGTAGATACCAATAAGGTCCAAGTGAAACCTATTGATAATATAACCGCTTTATGAAAAACTGAGTTTCAGTTATTATTTATTCTTCGATAAGTTTTTTGCTTATTGAAACAGTTTCTTCATCAGAAGATAAAATGTCCTCATCACACGTATAAGTAGGCTCATCCAAAATTGCATGCATATATTTTTTAGATAACTCACAGCAGGTGGTATCTAATGGAATATCTAAATTGGAGTTGAGTTCGTCTGCATCATCCTCCTCATCACTAGAATTATACTGAAATACATTTTTATACAGTAGAGTAAGCTCTTCTTTAGGTGCACTTTCTCTACTAGTATCGGTAGAACTCCTCGCATATTGTATAGATATCATGGAGCTTCCTTTTTGATAGGAAATTATTTTGAGTGGAACCTTAAATACCATCATTCTTAATTTTTCGAAAAACTTTTGTGCATCATAACATGCAGTGATGGGCGCTACTTTTGACTCTTGATATAAAGTTGCAAAATATAAAGGAATTTCTGCACGCAATGGATCCTTCTGATGCAGTGCACCGGTTAGATGAAGACAGACTTTCATATATGCATTAAGTGTCTTATGGGCGGCATACTTAATCTCTTCATCTTCTGCCACTTCAGTCTGATAGCGATAACAATCAGCTTTTAAGCGAAGAACACTAACCTGTGAGTCGATAGATATTTGTTCCGAAAACTTAGCAGTTTTTAGTATATTTAATACTAATTTTGATATAGTTTCAATTTTCATACGCACCAAATTACGGTACATTTTTATTTCTTCAACTTCTGTATTTGTTTCGTCCTTCAAATAAGATTCTATTTTTCGCCACTGAAGGCGATAATTGTTGATCCACATGCGAGAAGCTAAGGTCAATATTTCACGCTCTTCTTCCAATAATTCACTAATAGGTATAATTTTCTGAATATTTGCTAAGACTTGACCATATAGTTTTTGTTGCAAATATGCTTTGGCATTGATCGTCAGAGAACAGCGCTGTTCCATTGTAAAGTAATGATTGTTAAAGTAAGGTAAGTTATATTGCTTAAAACTGCTACTAAAAAATATATAGAGCAATAGTTTGCAAAAGATTTTATTATGAAAGGGAAAACTTAAAATTTAAAAAATATTAATTTTGACAGAGAAGTCATGGATTAAACCCTATTATAATAATTTCTTTAGAAAATTGAAATATGTTTTTCACTATACGTATAATATTAAAACTAAGAGAACGGATTAATCATTGTAATGTCAATTTTTTAGTTGTCGAGAGTGACGCGTATTTATGCCGACAAGAAACTATTTAAAAGTTAGATAGATTCGAATAGCAAAGAAAAGACAAGGACAAAAATTTATTCAATTTATTAAAATTTGGCTGACCATGCAACGCTGTTTCGAGTACTGTTTAGAGTACTCGTCATCAGTGATCTTAGGAAAGAAAGTGTAGGCTTTTTATATTATTTTAGAAAATCTTAAGCTGCTTAGTAGATCATCTTCAGTTAATGTACACTGAGTGGCATTAACTCAAAATTTTTTTTTGATTTTCATATGTCTCTTGGTTTTAAAATATTCCTTTTGTTGATAAATTAAGGGAAATAAAATTTCCGATCAATCGCATTGTGCCAACCCGTGTCAAGTAGACCTCAAAGTTGTAAAAGTATCTGAATATAGAAGAAGTCATTAAAAATACTATTTTGCTCGAAAAATACATTACTAATAGTATAATTTCCGGAAAATTTTTGACCAATTTATATTATTTATACGTTTCTACGTTATTATATGGTATTTTGTTTCTTTTAGTCCTTTAATTTTTGAAATTAGAGATGAATACATGTATGAGATGAATATATGTATCGATAATATTCAACAATTTGCAACAAGTACTGTTTCGTTATATGTTAAGCCCATATATAACTAACAACTAATGACGAAGTCTAGTGTACATCTAAATTAAATAAAATTATTTTTAATTGTTAAAAAATAAAATAAAAGCTTTTGTTGTTGTAATTCACTACGTTTCGTACAGTTTCAGATATTCATAGTTACAGCTATGACAGTGAATATTGTGAGGAATTCCTGTATTGGCCGCCTGTTTTCCTATAAGTCGGAGTCTAATAATAACTGCCAACAGTCTATAAATATTCCTTCTATTATTATTTCTATTTCCATTTCTGTTTCTGTTTCTGAAAATGAACTTTATTAAAATGTATTTTAATTTTGTCAAAAATGTTATTGCAAACATTTTCTCGGTATTCTGCACTAATGTCGCATAATATCTGGAAATTGTGACTCTTCAAAAGCCAATCATGTGCATACGTTTTCCATTGTGAAGTGCACAAAATTCTGTACATTTTTCCCTTAAACAAAAACTTTTTAGTTTCCTTGAAAAAGTTAATGTTTTTCTAATGAAACTTTTACTTGTGAAATTCTTGTTACGGAGACTGCTACCAAGCGATACAATAAAATTAGAAGTAAAAATAAAAATAAAAATGAAAATGAAAATAAAACCTAACATAAAAATGAAATGAAAACTTGGAAAAGGATGAAGAAATCAACACTTTTAGTGGCAACAATGCGTTTACTTTACATGAAGTTAATGGTTGCATTTATGCAATACATTTTTAATAGATTTTAAGACTGCGAAAGCTACTGCGTATAGAAATTCTCAACTTGAACTGACCTACTTTGGCAGTGAATTCTTGCAGAGTGAAGTTCAGTTTAAAGGAAATGGGTTAAAAAGCATAGCATATTGCGAGTAACAAGAGTAAGAGTATAAGTCAAAATTGCAACACAAACCACAGCACCAGACCAGGATTACAACAAACAAAAAAAAAAAACAAAAAACAGAAAAAGGGAAAAAACACTAAATAAATAAAGGAATTAAAGGAAAAAATGTTAACCCACTTGCACATGCCATGCCATGGTGCTTGCCTTGCCTTGCCTTTCCTTGGTGCTATTGTTGTTGTTGTTGTTGTCGTTGCTGGTAGTGGCACTGCTAGCTGATGACCAATCATGGCTGGCAACAAAGTAAAACGCACTTGAATGCTTCATTGGTTACCACGTCCATGGGTGTAGGACTATTACAATCCTCTGTCTTTTTTTTTTTAGAAAGCGCATCTTTTATTTTTAATTCTTTGGAAAGGAAATAAAGTGGCAAAAAATGGCAAAGAGGATGCACTAAAGCAGAATTGGTTGTGTTCATTGTCATGTCAGCTGCGTTGATTGCTCTTGTTTTATTGCTCAATGCGTTTGTTGCGGTAAAATGTTAAGTTTGTGAAAGTGAATTTTTTCTTTGTTGCAGGAATTAATGAGAAACTTTTATTTTAATCTTAAATAAATTTTAATATAAAACTATAACATTCAAGTGACCTTAATATATTCTATATGTTCTATTGATATTTATGAATTTCTAAAATTATTTATTTATTCTTAACAAACAGAAGAGCTGAAGAGTACCAAACCGTCTGATCTAACTAATTAAATCACATATTAATCATTATAGTATAATATTAAAAATAAGAATTAATATTGACTATTTTAAGTAACCGATGTAAAAATATAACAAATCAGTTTTTGTTCTTAACTAGACGCAATTCTGCTCAAAAAGTACCAAGATTTTGTGAATAAAACACACAAATTTAAATTTTATTCCAAATTTATTTTATCTCCTTCAAAATATGCTCCTTCTGAAGCGATACACATATGCCAACGCTTAACCCAATCTTCCATACACTTTTCGTAGGCCCGTGAAGGTATGGCTTTTAGTTCCTTCAGCGAATTCTCTTTTACCGATTCAATCGACTCAAAACGCTTACCACGAAGGGGCAATTTGAGTTTCGGGAACAGGAAAAAGTCGCACGGATTCAGATCTGGCGAATATAATGCCTGAGCGATGACAGTGGTGCCGTGTTTGGTCAAAAAATCGCGTACAACAAGAATGAGTAAATATGAGTCAACAAATATCTTTTAACAATACGATATAATTCCAGTATCAATATCATAGTGTATTATAGAATAGTGTACTTCTGTAATACAATTGTTTTGTTTTTTGTATGTATAAGTGAACAAATTATCTAAATTATTAACTTCTCCACAAGCTATATTTGCTTCAAAGTATAAAAAAAATGATTATACGAATACACTTTTCTGACTCTGTTTAATCAGTAAGAGTTCGTGAAAAATAAAGAAATAAGATTGTATTTTTTTCTGGAAGTGTACAATTAATCAATTATTGTTTCAATTTCATACGATAATAAAGATCATAATAAACATTAATTGAACACACAGTTATATATTTTTAAATAATGTCTTTAGCAAAATATATTAATCTCGAGTATGTTAAATCGGTCATGCTTTCCTATGACAACTAGTATTAGTAGCAGACTTTTAATGTATCCGTATCAACAAATTATACGTCCATTTCCCTTTAACGGATGTGTGATGCTTGGAAATATTCCGTAATCAACAATGCAAATAATAAGCAAATAATAAATTCATCAAATCAAGACACTAATGAAATTACTTAATAACTTTGTATATTACTAATATATATGTTAAACTATATATAATCATTTTAGAACTTAAAAAAAAAGGAATTTATAAGCAAAAAAGCAATCATAATTAATAAATTTAAGAGCCATATTATGTAGAGTGTCATGGGCTCGTCAGTGTCAAAAATGTTGTTGGTGTCAATGCAAATTATAAAGTAAAGAGTAAGAGAAAAAAATAATATGTCTGTTCAAATCTGGCCATGAGAACCGAAGCTATCTGTGCCACGTCACTAAGGCAAAGCAGTGTAGTTCAATAATAAATATGAAACATTTTTGAAATTTAGTATGAAGTTATTATAATTTCTATGACACTGTGCATAATATGCATTTTCGTCATAGAGCAAAAGAACGAATTTATACGAGGATATGACACTACATGGCCCTAAGACAAGGTATAGAGTTATGATTCAAAAACACCACCGAAAGAGTTCAAAGTACTTTTAGATGGCAGAAGGCGTTTTAGTCAGTAACGTAGTTGTTGAGGCGAACAGTTTCCATAACCTTGAGGAATTGTAACGAATTCTAATATATATAGTTATTAAACTATAAATTAGATCATGAAATAGTTATTGGACTCAGACATTGCAAATATGTAATGAATAACAAAGAGCAGAGGTAAAGTAAAGATAAATGCGTTTAACGTACAGGGGTTGTACTGCAATTCAATTTACTCAAAACATTGGTTGGGAGATGCTGTTTGGCTTGAAATAATGCGATCTGAAATTGTAAGCAGGTATTATAGAAATATAAATTTCACACTATTATACACATATATTTTGTTGATAGTTATAATACAATAAATTTATATATCATCAGCATATTTATATGAATCATCATATTCATACGAAATTTATTATATCAAATTTATGCGATTATCCAAATTACTATAAGTTTTTTTTTTTGTTTTATCACAAAACTAATTTTTCTGTATGAAGAAGTTCTAACTTTTTTAATATTTAATTAGTTCTAACTATACCTTTTTTAAAATCTTTAATATTTTACAATAGAAAGTGCGCTTCACTAAAACTTAAAATACAGATGTGTAGGACTATATGACAAGTAATATTAAAAATTGCATATTTTTTTTATATTAATTTTAAATAAAAATCATTTAATTTGCAACTGTAAATTTAAAAAACAAATTAATACATGTGCGCATATTTTCACCTCACAACAACTCCATTTAAGTAATAAATTAATTCATTAAGAATTTTGACAAATTTATATTTAATTTACACATAATTGCAAAAAATTTCTGCTTCATATTAATAATATCCGGGACAATAAATTAAAATAAAACATATATAAATAAATTATTTTACAGCGTAAATAATGACACGAAAACAATAATAATAAAATTCATGTTGCCACTTATGCACTCAAACTATTTCCGTGTTGAATCGTAAAAGTGCCATTCTTAGCCATGTTTGCAGGAAAATAAATGAAAAGTAATTT